CAACTTACTCAGTCTAGCCTGACCCATGGTGTCTCAGTGTCTGCAGCAAGCACAGGGTTAGTCTGTTTTACCAACCCTTCTCTTTCCTTCTCCTGCCTGCCATTCGGTCCTGCAATTTTCTCTTGACTTTCTGGCTCAAATCTAACCATTAGGGGAAGAAAAAAAAGTTATTGAAGCAAAATTGTCTACTGCAAGAAAAATTTAAATGTCATGCGTTAAACCAACTACTCCATATGTGTTTAGTAAAGTGAGCTCCAGTGTTTTATTTCTCAAAGGCAGCAGGAACTGCGGGTTTGAGATTCTTAATATTCCCCTTCTTCCCAAGGGGAGAGCAGGGACAAAATTCATTTCAGCTCAGTGGATCACAGTGGTTTCTCAGGAGTTAACTCTGCTATCCCCATCCATCAGGCAGCCAGCGAGGCATCAGAAAGAATGATGGATGTAAAATTATTACAGGGCTGCCACCCGATATACTTTCTGCCATTTGTAACTAACGCTGGAACTGACACACTTTTTTCATTATTAAACATCCACATTAAGTCAACATTGGTCACTGTCATTTCATGTTTGGCACTTTCTTAAGGGGAAGAGGGAGAGGTGGGGGTGGGAGTGGGAAGGATGGTGGGAGGAGGGGTGAGTGGGAATGGGAGGAAAGACATCCTGAACCCGGTGTTCCATAAGCATGAGTAATAGGCTCCTGCTCACAGTGCTGGAATAAATATTGTTACAAATAGCTATTTAGTCACAACCCAGCAGACAAGTACATGTCAGAGCCTTTTAAAAGGACACACTCCAAGCAATAACAGGGAGAACTTGCACTGCAGGTTAAGACACACCGCCAACACGGGTGTGTGTGTGTGTGTATTTGAATGCACTCAGCCTGGAGTGTGACTCCATCCCTATACATCACAAAGGCTCCTGTGGCTGTGTGTCCTTACACAGCTGTCCCAGACACTGCCAGCATTCAGAAACGAGTTTGTGCCTGTGCATATGTTCAAATACCTGCCTGTGTCCTCTTCCTCCTCTGTCACAGAGTACATCCCTGAGAGTCTGGCTGCAGTCGGGGAATTACTGGCTAGAGCTGTGCATGTTTGTGCTGTGTATCCCTGAAGGAGTGCACTGTAGGCTGGGATGCATGCACACACGTGCTGGCTCTTTGTGTTTCTGTACATCTCTCTTGCAGTTTTGGGGCTGAACAGACAGGTCAGAGTTCCCTGGCTGATGCTGCCTGTTGTGGTGTTTACCCCAGCTGCAACTTGAGCTCTGAGTTGTGAGTATAACAGGTAACACTGTTTATGTATAATATGTATCAAGCTATAATTAACTGTGGATGACAATTACAAATAAAGCTATGCTCTCGGGTTTCCAAGAAACCACAAAAACACACTCATCTCATTTATACAAGGAAATGTTTCCAAGAAAAGTAATGTAAAAATATGTTTTACTGCATTTGCAATTAAAATAGGTTTTAGTAAAATCCATGTTCATCGTGATGCTCAAAGTTTTTACTGTAATCCTCTGAAAATCAAATCCGTCAAGATGGTCCAAGTTGGATGCCCAAAAAGTGACTCACCCAAATCATCTTAGCCATTTTTAAAAATCTTTTCTTATGTATGACTCCTTTTATACAGTTTCTCTCTACTTTCACAAAATTCCTGTCTGACTACTGCCTTAGCTGGCATGTCTGGCTGTCCACAGGGATCAACCCATCTGGAAACATGAGCAAGAAAACAGGTCACATATGAAGAGTCCAAAGAGTTTTAACAGACTCCCAAAGACGATTTCCAGCCCTAAGCCTGCCCAGCTACCCCTGGCAGACAAATCCCCACCAAGAGTCTCCTATATATGTTGGGAATGGTGCAGAGCCCACCTCCACTGGAAGGCTGCAGAAGCAATTCTTGCAAAAAAAAAGCTCAACAGGTCTCAGAGAATCATTATTACACAACCCACTGCAGCAAAAAAGGGAGAAAAATTTGGCATAGCCCCAAATGAGTGTTTGTTACCTATAAATAATAATGTGCATTTCTAAGTACTAATCTGCCCAGGGATACATAGATATACATTAGGATAATGCTCTCTTAATTCCACCTCCAATTCTCTGGTCAGGAAGCAAAAGTGACAGACATGATGTCTCAAAAGTTCAGGGGCTGCCACTAAGACCCATGGTGGGACATCTGTAATGAAACTATAGCACTATTTTTCCCTAACCACATCTCCAACTATCTAATTCTCTGCCTCTGAAAACAGAGAAAACCAGAATAAAGTTTAAGTAAAAATGTCAATACTTGCTTTCTTCTCAAATCTTGCTCTTAATGAGAAAACCTTAATCTCCTAGGGCAAAAAGATCCAAACAGTAGAAAAGTTGGATTGTTTGTCTGGATATGAACTTCACATACTAAAATAAATCAGAGAATCAATTAGGTTGGAAAACACTTCAGAGATCATTGAGTTCAAATCAGTGAGCTCCAATAAAGTTTTGGCATTAATTGTATGGAAACCCTCAAAACCTACAGTTGCTTTAGAAAAATTCTCTATTGAGCCAACCATTTTTTCTTCCTGCTACCTTGTAAAAGAACTCCTGTCTGCCCTCCACGAGCCCACCAGGAGGTATGAATTAGAGAGGAAAATAAACTTCAACTGAGGTTGAGGGTGTGAAGTGAAAACAGAAGGAATAAGGAGAATCCCAAGAATAGGAAAGTAACAGAATAAAGTGAATGCAGATGGTTCCACTCCTGTTACTTAATCAAAAGGCTGTGCAGAGTCACTAGAGCCAGCATAAAGTCATGTGTTAGAACAACAGCTGATCTGTATTAAAGAAGATTAACTTGCAATGCCATGGTGGAGGGCCTGGGATTATTTTATGTGCTTCCATTGCCGAACAAGCCGTCAGCACAATTACTGCCCTCCGATGTGAATGACTGATCTGTAACCACAGCTAAACAGCATGCTGCTTAGGGGCCTGGGTGCTTCATGAAGATGAATTTCCATACCATCAAAGTGCTTTTAATGGGCTTCCTGATCCAACCACAAGGCCTGCTTTGCAAGTATATAGAACTCAGGATGAAGGCTTCCTGTCCAAAAGGATTTGGTCGGTTGTCACTTGACAATTCCCAGCCAGCACAAGGGAGGAGAGGGGGGAGATAGGTAGAGTTGTCTCTGCTTTGGAGGATTTAGAAAAAAAAAAAAGAGGAAAAAGAAAAAAAAGGGTACAGATGCTTTCTGAATGCAACCAACTGCTGTATCCACAGCTGAATTCAATGCGCTTAACAAATAACGGCAATTTAGCTATGCTTGCGAGGAATAGCTTGAGTCACTTTGCATTAGCATCTGGCTGAGTGTTAAAGTCATTTCTACATGGGGAGCAGAGAAAAGGAATTTCTGCTCCGAGCATCCTTTCAAGAATGCTTAAATATTTGAATATAAATTCCTTTGTGCTTGTGATCACTTCTTCTTATATCTGACACTCTGCTTTTCCCTTTTCCCTTCTGGTGCTCTTTGCCATAAACATGCTCTATCCCTCTCTTTCCTTCTCTCTCCCCATAGCAGCACCCTTATTCTTCTGAGACAGAGTGCATGTACTGCCGGATACCTATTACACTGACCCCTTTTTTCCTTCCCCTTCCTCTCCAGAAAGTGCATGAAATTGGAGTCATTTTTACATCACGGACACCCAGGATAGGCTGATGAAAAAAGTACAGCGGTGAGAGACTCACATGTACATTTAACATTCATTACGCAGGCTGCTGGCTTCTCACAGCTTATTGATCAAACTCCATCTAAAACCAGGGAAAATGGAAAGCTATCCAAATTAGCAATCTGCTCATTCTGGACAATATTGTTTGACTCACAAGCTTCCTAGGATGACTGGATTTCAAGTTTCTGCTAAATAGCTGATCATTTTTATTCAATCTATTTATCTGCCTGTCTCAGTGAATTGCACAAGACCTTACAGTAGAAGTGGTTTCAATTAAATATAGTTGACACCAAACGTGACAACGGGGATCCTTGTGCTGCACAACGACGGCTGTATCACCTCAGAAAATAACTGCAGGGAAGGAGAGGAGCAGAGGAGAAAGCCTTGCTAAGCACACAATGCTGAGACGCACACCAGGGTTGAGACGTGTATCTTAGGTGGCAGCATTATAAGGACAGCTCGCTATAAATGTGGCAGCAAGCACTGGCAGGTCTCTTTATCCTCCATAAGCCAAGGTATTGCACAGAAAGACATCAGGCACTTATGGAGAAAAGAAGCAAATCACAACCTCACTGACACACTCGACAGTTAGAGCACATAGAAATTTTACAAATTTAGAGAATATCCACTTTGTTGGTATTTTGTTACAGCACAGCTTCACAGGCCAGCCCAAAAGCAGAAGGTGGTAAGGCCCATACGTTCTGCTGCCTCTAAGTTTCACTGCAAATATTTGGAGAAGTTTGTGTTGTCAATTCTCCACTTTTCAACTTTGTTAAGTCATCTAACATGACATGACAGTGCTACATTGCAATGGTCACAAAATATCATATATGACGACCTCACAAGGCTAAATACCCAGGAGCTCAGCCTGAGTATCCACAAAGCTTATGTTCCTAAAGAAGCTTGAATATTTTCAAATCCAGCTCATCTCACAAACACATGTAAGCATTTCCATAAAGCAAGATTTCCACTTAGACCCAGAGATTTCCAAGATCTCCTTCTCTTAATACATGTTGACAGGCTGGAACAGAGAATTAGTGGTCTCCAAAGTTCTTGTGAGGGCTTTAACTATCTCTGCCTCCTCCCTACTCTCCCCCAGGGGTCTCCAGGTCTCTCTTTCATGTCATCTTTTCGTTGTGGTTTCCATCTTGCTTTTCAATTTTTTTGAACTATTCTGTTTCAAAAGCGGGGAAGGAAAAAATAGAATAAGAAAAAGGAGGAAGAGAAGGGAGGAAGAAGCTGTGTATCTGTGGGGAGAGGCAAATGAACACTCTGACCCTTTGCAGAAGGAGTCTGGGAAACTCACTTTTTCTGTCCTGCAGTTATTGAGACCCAGGCTGTTCACCACGGCCACCTTCCCATCCAGCACCTGCTGCTCCCTCCGTAGCTGCTCCTTCATCTGTCGGGCCTCCTGGATTGCCTTGGTAACAGCATCGTGGTCATTTAAATAACCTGACGACGTGATAGAAGAAAGGATGTCTTAAAAAAAGAAAGTTACAAGAAAACACTTTAGCTTTCATCAGTGGAATGTAGTTTATCATTATTAATGAGAAAGAGTTAAAAGGCAATGCCCACAAACCTGTCTGGGCTCTGCAATTCTGTTGTTGTTGTGACAGAGCCACCTGGACATAAAGCATGAGAAACCTCGGTGCCAAAATCCTCATTCCTGCTATTTGATCCCATTAGTTTCAATATTTCCCTGACACTGCAGAGGTTAGCCCTGTGGTTTGTATGCAGCAGGATGTAACCGGATAAGAGTTAGGGGAAGCTTTGATCACGCCAGCAATCCCAAACTCTTAAAAATAGACCGTTTCATTCTTCCCCGTCTTAAAACTTGTGAATACATTAAAATAAACCACAGGTGGCGGTGGTTTGCTATACATATGAAATGCATAATGGCTGAGAAGAAAAACCTCATCCACTGAATACTCCCCACCACCACTTGTCATTCATAAATGTACAAGAAACCACAGCTACACGGACCTACATTCCCACTCCTATTCATGCTGCTAATAGTAGGTCAAATGTCCACTGTTTTGCTGCAAATTCACAGCCTAGGGCTTAGCCTTAGTAGTCACTGAATTATTTCCTTTCAAAATGTTACAAGCATCACCGGCACAGCTAATACTATTTAATTTTAAATGTGACACTTTGTCATTTTTTTCCTTTTACCTTTTTTTCCTGTGGATTATACTTATTATGATCTGCATGTGATTTGTGGGATAGAATACTGATGGGAGACTCCAAGCCCCAGTCCATTTTTCAGATATTAAAGTAGAGGCTAATATCTATCAATCTCCCTCTCCCCCTCCACATCCCCACACGTGTGCACACACACACACAAATACACACACTTCTTTCTGTCTTTTAACTAGGGCATAAAAACAGCATAAAATGAATCTGTAATATGAAATTGCCCAGAAAAGGGACTTCTGTTTGTGACATGAGGCTAAATCTAACCAGATCCATTGGTGAATTGTGACAGATGGAGGGACTGTGAGACAGAAGGCAGGCACTAATCACACACAAAATGACCGGCTTGCCTCAACATGTTCCATGGATTCCAGCAAACTTTACACCCTAATCCATTTTTAGAACAAAAAACATCTGGGCCATAAATCCTCTAATCTGCCAAAACACGCTATTAAATCCCATGATTTGTTGAAAAACACTAAGATTAAAGAAAGGAAATATAAAATGGCTAACTGCCGTGTTAGGAAAGTGTTATTAATACTCTTTCTTTGTCTCAATTATGAATGTTCTGTTCCTAAAGAGCCTTGTCTAATCATGTCAGATTACACATCCCTGTTGTATTGCTAGACTCTTCTATCTGATCTGCTGATTGCCAAAAAACGTAGGACATTGTCTTGCTGCTTAAAACATTTCTGGGGAAGAAGCTGATGTCAGATTAGTTCAGTGCTGTGCTGCTGTCAGGATTTTAGTTTGGTTTGGGGTTTTATTGTTGTTTTTTTCCAGACTGTGGACAGAGTGGGATTGGTACTCCCATCATCCTTGGAGAACAAAAGCTAGAAAGAAAAGTTCCTGTGATGTTTGACTGTTGTTAATTGCACTAGCAGCTAGCTTTTGGCTAAAACCCCAGGAACCCCGAGAGTTTTATATGAAATAACTTGCTCCACATTGCTTTTATCAAATGACCCAGTTCAGTAATTCCCAGCCAACAGAATTCCCGCAATTCCAGTTTTCCCAGCATAAGGAAGAGTATAGCCTGCACCAGCATAGTGCTACCAGCCGATTTTCCTTTTTTTATTTTTATTTCCATTTTACCAACTTGCTTGATTTCTTCCCCAGTTTGTATCTGTTAACCTTTGCATCCAATCAACCTTGCATGTAGTCAGAATAAATTAAAAAGGAAGCAAATAAACAAACAAACAGCAGTATTAGTGCTGCTTTTGCTGTTGTCTAGGTATAATACTTTCAATCTGTAACAGAGCCAAATTTGCCTAGGAACTGGAATTCATGCCCTTCTCCAGACTATTTGGCTTTTCCTGAATACTGCTATCTTTGAGACAGTTTGGCACATGACAGTGAATAAAAGCAAGCACTCCTTATGTTTTTCAGTAGCTGCCAAGATGCTGGTGTGCAGGGAAATGATTAATATAGAAGCGAGTTGAATGTAAATTATTGTTGTTTAGGGTAGGTGGTGAATTATTGACAGAGAGGGGAACTGCATTACATAAAATGAACTTAGTTCCAAGGATTGCCAAACTAGCACAGAGATGTTGCAGATAATGGCAAAGAGCAGAGAGAAGTTGTTTCTGTTTTTAGTACACGGACATATGCCTGTTCCCAAAAAGAAATGCTTGGATTTAAAGTCATACATGAAGCCATGACATTTGTGACTGCTCAGTCTGTAGCACAATTTATATGCTATAGGGATAGCTCTGGAAAGGGCTGTGGAGCTGTATGCCTGAGTGCAGCTATGCTGATAATTTCTGAGGCTCTGAGTTCATGTCCCCCAAAGAAAACTGAACAATACACAGGCATTTCTCCACGTCATGGGAGCCTGAAGGACTGCTTTCAGAGAACAGTTATAATTTGAAGTTAATGGTGGTGAAAAGTGACAGCTCAGCTGCATCCCAGCAAGGTGGGCTGTGCACACCTAGGACAGACAACTTGTACCTTGTGCTGACAGCTCCAATCATTCCAGTGGTGGAGGTAACTGCCTGACAAATGACTGAGTGTTTCCCAGTGGCTTTTCGTAGGGGGATTTATCACTCAGGGTGAGAAAGTGATCCACTTTCCCGACCATGTTAGGGATCTTTGTAGCTTTGCTAAAAATGCTATCAAAATTTTTCATGGTGTAGCTCCTGCAGGAGGGTGACATGAAATTTCATGCTCACTTCAAGATCACCAAATAGTTTCATCATGGCACTGAGTCCTACTTGCTGTAACTTGTGTTGGATCTGACCTAGCAGTTAGCAGGAGACTTTGTAGGGTGTGCAGGAGCTTCTCCTTCTTGCAGTCCTCCATTAATGGATAAACCTTTACTAGAAGTACACTGTGTCCATCCAGCTCTTGCACCAGTTAAAGACAGCTTATCTTTTATATACAGCATGCACAGTGATACTGCTCAGCAACCTCAAAAAGTCACTTTCTATATTTGTAGCAGAGAGATATACAGCAGTGAACTCTATGTCATTAACAATAACTTAAGTATGTTATCTTTTGCTCCACAGTTTCCCATGGTTTATTAATGGTATAACACATTAATTCTTCTTACAAGAGTGACCTTTAAAGCTCTGTTCATCCTCACAGCTTTTATCCAATTACATTATCACTCATTAAAGGTACAGCATTTCAAAATCTGCACCTTGTTATAAGAACTAAATTGCAAGGGTCTCAAACTCATGGAAAATGCCAGGTGTGTAGGGAAAGAAGATTGGAGAAGGGAGAACAAGAGATGTCTTGCCACTGAAATGCGAGTCAGATGCTTAACTTCCCACTGAAACATGATGTTCCCTCTACTTAAGGACAAAAAAAATCTGATGGGAAGAAAATGAAATTCGATGCATTGTGCATGGAGAGCAGCAGGGTCAAGCAAATTAAAGATAAAATATATTACTATGTATCACAGTTAAATATTACAGTTATATTATACAATAATGCTGTGTATTAAAGTTAAATATATATTACTATGTATCACAGAGCATAAGGTTAATAACAACACAGACATTAACAATTAGTAATGTGATATTTAAAAAATATTTATATAATTGTAATGTGTCATACTAAATAAATTTTACTGCATAGCACTGCTGTATCACAGACATAGCTTCTGATAGGTTTGATCTATGGCTTCTTTTGGAGTTTCTTGTGCTATCCCTGAAAGTGGCAAGGCAGGAGATGCTTTAGGAGAAACACAACAGATAATAGAAAAAGTACATCTGCCTCACTTAATTCCCAAAAACAGAGCTTGATTTACATAATGAAATCTTGATTCGGGTTATACTCAATCACTTCACGGATTAGAACATTTCAGTTAGAAGGATCAAGGATGGGGTGTGTACACATTTTCCTTATACACACAAATAACAGTCCCTCTAACACATCAGATTTATGAAATTACCAATAAGACTGCTACTATTTAGATGGTCTTTAGGCAAAGACACAATTTTGGCACGGGGAGAATTATCACTGTTTTCTGGAACAATGTTACAAACAGCCAGTCAAGACTTTTTGCAACACAGAACAACAAATTTGGGGTTTTCTTGAATGAAAGTGGTGATTGTTTTTCTTATTACACCGAGGTAAAATAATATTCCATTCAGCATTTGGACAGGCTAAGGATTAAACTTGTAATTTTGGAAATATGTAGACTTTTAATTTTACGAGATGTTTTTGAAAGTTCATCCATCACTTTTAGATGACATAGCATAGTATCACGGGTCTTAAATGCCCACCATTAGACAGGTCACTGTCTTTAACGTGTGTATTAAAAACCAGTATTTATTAGAGTTTAAAGCAGCATCTGAAATAACACAGGCCTTTGTTTTCTGAGTCTGTAAAAGTTAAGATACCCCTCCTGAAAGGAAAGTGTCTGCAAGTTTCTTCACTGACACCAAGCAAGGGGAGAATTATGGTGAACGTGTGACAGCTCTTGGCCCACTGCCTGGCAGTGGCTGATGAAAGCCCCCTTTCCATTAGATCTGTCCCTTGTCAGGAGTGGGATACACAGACTGAGCTCACCTATTGTGTTGGCTCTGGCCGAAGGACTCGCTAATGTTGCTGGCCCGGAGGACTTTAGTGAACTGGCCCCACTGTTTATTCTCAGAGCTGGCATGTGAGGAGAGGTGGGTGATGTGGGAGATTTGCCATCAGATGTCTTGGGTTTGGCTGAAAGGTTCAGAGGCTGGGCCACTTCATCCTGCGATAAGCAGAGGAGAAAAGAATGTTATCACCAAACTGCTGCTGGCACAACACTGCCCCAGCAAAGGCAGTGGTTTCAGCTCATATGAACTTCTAAACCTGAGAGGTTGCATCATATATATGAAGATCAAATGTGATACCATCTTGTCACTCCAGTTTGGAACTGAAATGACTGATAAACTGGAAAATTAGTGTGACATGATCAGAGAATATCCATTTGTACTTGGTGTGAGAGTTGTCTCTGAAGAAATTATTCCCATCAACAAGACATTTGCTTCTATCATGAAAATGAAGAGCAAATTTACAGCTGTATTGTGTTTTGAATCTTATATTCATTAATGAAGTAAAAACTGAAGACCATCTTCACTTAAAACTCAACCACCACTAGCCAAACTGGGCAAACAAACGAATGGGGGTTCAGCTGGCTTTTTTAATGGTCTTTTGTTTTTCTGTTGGTTTTTTGTGGTTGGTGTTTTGTTTGGTTTTTTTTTGTGTGTGTGCGTGCGTTTTCTTTGGGTTTTGTTTTAAGTTGTACTTTTTCCTGAACTTCCCAGACTTAGAATTACAAGCACAAAAACACCATAGGAAATAAATACTCTCTTCCACTTTAACAACATCTGAGACAATAACCTCGATAATTCTGCACACATCCCTAGATGTTTATATCTGCTGAAAAGCTGAACTTCTAGATTTCAGCAATTATTATTATGTGAAATAAGAAAAACTGAGTGACATTTTTTGCACGGTAACTAGAATTATTCCTAAACCTGGCTTGATTACACAGAGTGACAGACAGTGCTATAAAAACATTAAAATGCCAAGTAATGCATTTTTATTTGACCAAAGTAAAATAAAATAAGATAGAAAGGAAAAAAAAAAAAAACAGAGAAGGGAGAAAAGGGTTTTCAACAAGGGGAGCATTATAGAAGTGATTTTAACTGACTTTTAAATAAGCAGAACTGATGGATGTGATATTAGCTCAAATCATCACATAATAGCTTAGCTCTTGTCTGACACTGTGACTTAGGAAAGTCATGCTTTAGCTACAAGAAGTGCTGCATCAGACAACTGGGTTTCAGCTCTAGGCACTGAAGAAACTGATTCTGGTCTCCCTAAATTGTAAGTACATTTAGTTTTATAGAATTATTCCTGACTTACAAAAATGCAAAGCTGAGTGAGATTAGACTCAGCTTTTGGTTTTTGTAGGGATTTTTTCTTCGTGGTTTTTTTTTTTTTTTTTTTTGTTTGTTTGTTTGTTTGTTTGTTTGTTTGTTTGTTGTTTTTTTTTTTCAATGTTTGAGTGTTCTACTGTTACCACTGAAGTCTCTGTAACTATCATGTACGGGCAATTCTTTTCCACACAGGAGGTTGTAATGTAAAGAAGAAATTTTATAGCTGCCTATTGCTTGTGGAAGTATGACTTAGATGTCTCCAAACACAAGACAATTCTGCAAAGCACTGTCACATAACTTTCCGTTGCCTCTGAGCGAAGCATCTTTGTTATATTTGATTATATTTCTACATTTGGTTGTATTTCTACACAGTTTTGTGACAGTCATAGCAGATAAACATTATCAGAGACATTGTGGACAAAGCTGTCATCCTTAAAGTGATGTTGAAGCCATCCTAGAGGCAACTTGTGCATAAAATAAATGGGAAAAAATCAGTGCATAAAATTGCCTTAGGAGCCTACATACTATACTCAGAAGTGAATTAGGTACCTAAATGGGAGAGTTCTGTTGATCTTCTGGGAGACTTAGGCTGCAGGGTTAAAAATGTCACCAGTAAAACTGGTATTTGACAGTTTTAGAAGGGATTTGTTACTTTACAGAAATGCAAATCCGTTGTATTAGAATATAATAGATAAAAATAAAGATAAAATAAAATAAAATTAGAAAAAAATAAAATGCCAGCCAAATAGAAGGGGATTTGTTTTGCTGCTCCCCTGTTTTCAATTAAAAAATAAAGAAGTCTTACAACAGTCCAACTATAATGTTGTGAAATCAGCACTGCATAAAAGTTTTAAATATAAACGAGCCAACAAACTAACCAAACACAGCGACCTTGTGCCAGACAAGGATCCCTGAATAGCAAAGTCATGGATTTGGAAGACAGCCTGAGAAGCAAAGCAAACCTGCCCACAGACTTGTTTCAGTTCAGTCCAAGAGGGTTTGGTTTCCACATACGTTCGATTCTTGACCTCTGCTGTAAGTCTCAACAAAAGGGGCTGGTTAGTGTCAGAGATGGTACTAAAAGCTGCAATGTGCCCTCTGCCCAAAAGAAATCTGCCTGAGAGCAGCACCAGTGCAGAAGGAGCAGCAGCTAGTCCTTGATGGGAATGGCTGGCACATACTGCAAAGGCAGCCTGGATTCCAATCTATGTTCTCATAATAAAGGTTTTTTCAGTCCCATCCTCTTGCCTCAGTCCCTCAACTATCCTGTCCCTATAAAGCTTATTTCCTTCCCTGCTCTGGCTCCTTCTCCCTTTTCTCAGCTCTTCTGTTCCCTTTTTTTTAACCTGGTGTGAAGGCAAGGTCCTGTCCAAGTCCACCCTACTCTGGTGGCTCTGATCTCGTTTAATGGGAGTTAGAAACAGAGGAGATGGGGTTTTTTCCCCATTATAGGCATCAAGCAATGAGGCTGTTTGTGTTGTAACTATTCTTGGTAGTAAGAATGCTCTTCTTCATTCAAGTCAGCACAGCCTTCTCTGAAGCCAAGAAATATAAGGCCTTGTGGAAATAATAGAAGTCGACAGTTCCAGAGCTGATAAATGTCATTCCAAATTGCCCCTTCATTCACTTTCATTGTGTGTTCAGGCTAATGGTAAATTAATCGGAGGTCACAGAAGCTTGGTTCTCATAAAGGAGGATAAGTAAACAATTTTCAGCTATTATATATATTTACAAAATGATACTACTTCACTGTTTGGTCTTCGTAACATTTTTACTTCTGTTATTTCAAAGAGCATTCTCAAATCCTTGCTGGAAGTCAAATGCATTAAAAATCCTACATTGCATCACGATTTGGTAATAACTTTAGTAATTTCCTTTACAATAGTGGAACTGCACTGATTTATTCCAAAGAACTCTAAAAAATATCTGGGGGACAAGTAATAACATACAATTGTGTTAAGTGTGTAGGATCTTCACTCCTAGTCAGTGAAACATGTTACTCTTTTCCCTTTCTGCAGCCATAAATTCAGAATCCTCTGATCTTCCAGCTTAAATCAAGAGCTATATTGTCTTCATTATTGATCTGAGCCTGTGTAACCCCAATAAGAATTAAGTGTTAGTCTACCTTTATTTTTTAACTATAAAATCTCCCAGCTAACATTCTACCACATTACAGATTAGCAGAATTTTCCCAATTATGCCAGGGCTAGGTGTAAGACAGCTCAGGCAAGCAAGAGACATAAAAGATAAAAACCAGATGTAGCATCTTCACGTCAGGTAGATATTATCTTTCAACAGGCAGCAGATTTGATTTTATGCAGTGGATCACAGAATCTAGAATTACTCCCTGCACTCAGTTTTCATTACAGAAAGCACTGATTGGTCCTTGCCTTTTTTTTGAAATGCGGCTATTCTAAGATGACACTGATCAGGTGGGGTTTTTTTCTCAAGCCAGGATTTTTTAAAGTGTTGAAGTCAAACATTTATTTATATATCAGCCAAAACAATTAATGCTGAGACTAGAAGACCCAAAAGGCTTGTAATAATATAAACACAGATGTGATGAAAATAAAATATGATCTTGATTAAAGGTTATGAAATGCCTTTTTAAAAGTAGCACATTTGTCTTACAAAACAAAATACACACACACACACACAAAATAAATGTAGAGAATAAAGCATAAGCAAAAACATATGAAGGAGGGCTAATAAAACGTACCCACAGAAAGCAAAGCACTGGCAAAGAGATTCCCAACTCCTGTATCACAGCTGTGTCAGAACAGTTGCTGTTTTAGGGAGAACTGATTTGCTTCCCAGGATTGGAAGACTCATTAACCAAAAACTGAATTCAGGGAACTTGAAATCCTTGATTTCCTCTAATTTTTTTTTCCAGGTTGTATCTAGGTATTTAGGGAAAGAATGAACACTTTTCCTACACCAGAATTTGAAGGATAAATAAAATATTCAAGAGCTGTATTTTGTAGCTTCACTCAGCCTGGATTAGTATAACTCTGAGCTGTCGTATTTTAAACTTTAGACACAGAAAATCTCCAAGTTTAAGTGCCTGACATGCAACACAAACAGAAATGCTGCTGGCAAATTGAGTGTGGATCACACTGCTTTTATAAGGTTTGTATGGTCCTTTGAATAGGTAAAATGCTGTGGGTTAACACAAAGTGCTTATTAACATGGGAGGAAAAAATGAAAGAGAGGGAAAAGGATGGGATTTGGGCACAGCCATACAGTGACAGCAGCAGAGCTTCAGACAGACCCAGGAATTCTGACCCGCAGTCACCAATCTTGAAATAGTTGGCTGAAATGATGTCTTTTCTAATCTTTCCATCATGCTGTCTCTATTTACTTCCTCCTAGGATAAAAGGTTAATTCATCTCTATGGAGAATAGATATGGAAAAAGAAGGGGATAAAATCTGATTTTGAGAAACTCTCTAAACCATTTATTAAAAATGGCAGTATTTCAACACCAAGAGCTGAATAAAAGACTGATAGCCCACATGAATGAACCAGTCTCAGAGAATAAAAAAAGGGGAGGATGGGGGTGGGGGTAGTGGTGAGGAACCCAGACGATTCATTAGGATTTGATAATCTCACTCCTTTTCACATATTTTAAGATTAGTGCACTATTAAAATACAGTTACTGAATTATTGTACTGTCATTTAAATCCAAGTGCTGGATTCCACTGTGGCACACGCTGGAAGTCCAGGTTGCAGGGTTTATTACAAAATCATGAACTACTCTGGGTATCATCTGACTGGCAATACAAATGTGCTTAAATGACCTGGCTTAAGCACAGCCCAGCCTGCTCT